AAAAAAAAAAAAAAAAAAAGGAAGTTGGGAGAACATGCATACATTGTTCCAGGGCTATAGCTTTTAACCTGTTAAAGGAGCTCATATTCCTTCTGAGAATCTAATGAAAGTTATTTATCTTCAGAGGAAAAAAATGCACCTATGCACAACATTTTGCACATGGCTTCAGGTGGTTAATAGATTCAGATTTTTTTTTTTTTTTTGAGTTGGAGTCTCACTCTGTCACCCAGACTGGAGTACAGTGGCCGCTCCTGGCCACCGCAGCCTCGACCTGCTGGGCTCCGGCGATCCTTCCACCTCAGCCTTCCAAGTAGCTGGAACTACAGGCGCGCACTACCACGCCTGGCTCATTTTGATTTATTATAGAGATGAAGTCTCACCAAGTTGTCCAGGCGGGTCACGAACCCGCGGGCTCAGGCAATCCACTCACTTCAGCCCCCCAAAGGCACGGGATTACAGGCTGAGCCACCAAGCCCAGCTCAGATTTTTTTTTTCTTATGTCAGGGTCTTCCTCTGTTGCCCAGGCTGGAGTGCAGTGTGGCATGATCACAGCTCACTGCAGCCTTGACCTCCTGGGCTCAGGCAATCCTTCCACCTCGGCCTCCAGAGTAGCTGGGACGACAGGCATGCACCACCATGCCCAACTAAATTTTTTTTTTTTTTTTTTTTGTAGAGACAGGTCTTGCTATATTGCCCAGGCTGATCTTGAACTCCTATGCTCAAGCAGTCCTTGCCTCAGCCTCCCAAAATGCTGAGATTGCAGGCATGAGCCACCATGCCTGACTGATTTCAGATTTTAGAAGCTTTCTCTAAGCAGTGCTTCCTAACATCTGTAACATGGTGACATGTTGGGATAAATGGCTGCTTGCATATTCTTTCTGAGACTACCAGCCGAAAGCTGAGAAATGCAGTATGTAGCATCTCTATATGCATGTGCATACCACTTGAGAGCTGTATTCTAGGAAAAGTGTGATGGGAACTAACTTATCACTTGCCAAAAGTTATTTGACTCATTAAAAAGCATGGCTAGGGTTAAACCCAGGTTTGTCTGACTCTAAAACCTATGTTCTTTTTACTGTGCATTGATACCTTCCCAGTAGGAAGGGTATATGTGTGTGGGCAGTAGGTAGGGAGGTAGATAGTACTTTTTTCCTACTCAGTGTAAGGACCTTTGGATATATGTCCACTAATTCAAAAAGAAGCCACATCAATAACATTATGACTTAATGTAATTTTGTCAAAAATGGAAATGGCCTAACATAAGTGATTCAATAAACTATAGTCCATCAGAACAGTGGAATATTATGTAGCAATTATAAATGTTCATCATTGCAAGTATAAACATTATATAAGTAATAAAATGAAAAATTTTAAAGCACACTCTGGCCGGGCACAGTGGCTCACACCTGTAATCCCAGCACTTCGGGAGGCTGAAACAAGAGGATTGTCTGAGCCCAGGAGTTCAAGACCAGCCTGGGCAACATGGTGAAACCTCATCTCTACAGAAAATTAAAAAATTATCCAGGTGTGGTGGTGTACATCATAATCCCAGCTACTCAGGAGGCTGAGACGGAACGATCACCTGAACCTAGCAGGTCAAGGCTCACTGTGATGGTGCCAGCTTAGTGACAGAGAGACTCCAACTCAAAAAAAAAGAAAACACACTCTGATGGCAACTATGTAAATGTAAACATTTGCTTATTTGCTTATCTGATCATTTGTTAAGCATCTATTATATTTAATAATCTGGGTAGTCGGTGCTAACAGAAATAGTCTTTGACCTAATGGCATAATGGGAAGAGGTAGACACATTGTTCTAGATCAATAGATTTTTAACTGTTTCATGTTCATCCTGAGAACCCGTTGAAAGCTATTTATCCCCCGGGAGGAACAAATGTACCTATGCAGACTAATGTGCAATGTGATACAAGTAAAAGTTATTTTGTTAAGGTGATTATATTGAGCTGAATGCTTCTCCCAACTGGTCCTACTTTTTCTGTCTGGCAGTATAGAGTATATTCCCTCTTTGGACAGTTCTTCAAGTAGGTGAAGTATGTAATCATGTCTCCTTCTTGGAATTGAGTATCCTTCATTCTTGTAAGCATTCTGAGGGCTTTTCCCCATACTTACTTGCATTTTTATCATCCTCTTTTGCTTACATCCTTTCTTGTCAGTGGCCATTAAAGTGTGGCCTAAGCTAACATCACACGTATGGTGTAAGCACGGTTTGCTAGGGCTGCCATAACAGACATAGGTGGCTTAAACAATATTAATTTATTTTCTTTATTTTCTCATAGTTTTGAAGGTTGAAGGTTCAAGAACAAGATGTTGGCAGGGTTGATTTTTTTTTTTTTCTGAGGCCTTTCACCTTTGCCTGCAGATGACCACCTTCTCCCTGTGTCCCTGCCTGGTCTTTCCTCTGTGTGTGGGAATCCCTGTTACCTCTGTGCATTCAAATGTCCTCCTAAAAGGATACCAATCATATTGGATTAGGGCTCAATCTAACGGCCTCCTTTCAATTTAATCACCTCTTTAAAGGCTCTGTCTCTAAATACAGTCATATTTTGAGGTACTAGTAGTTAAGAGTTTTAATGTATGAATTTTGTGATGGAAATATTGTTAAGTATGAAAATAATACATAGAAATAAGTAAATTCATTTTTTCTTTCAGCCAAAATCTGAAGATGAAGAAGGCTGGAAAAAATTTTGTCTGGGTGAAAGGTTTTATGCTGAAGGGGCTGTTGGACCAGCTACTAATGAAAATCCTGGAATTGATTATGTACAAGTAGGTGATATATGAATAAACAAAACATAAAAAGCATTGTAATTTTGATGCATCACTCAGTATAAGGGGTCAGCAAACTTCAACCTGCCCAAATCCATTCCACAGCCTGTTTGTTTAATCCTGTGAGCTGATAATGCTTTTTAATTTTGTAAAGGACTGTAAAAGGAAACAAATAATGTGTGACTGAGACTATATATGGCTTGCAAAGCCCAAAATATTTACTGTCTGACTTCTTGAAGAAAATGTGTGCAAGCCCTGACTTAGTTTATTAGTTCTTTAATTTACAAAGTGTCAGCCTAGTTTCTGAAACTGCTTACTGTGACTTATTTTAGTTGGTTTCGTCTTTAGTTGTGTAATAATTTTATAAGTTAAATAGGATTTAGTTTTTTGAAATAATAAGGCATTGAACAAACAAGTTATGAGTAGTCGGGGGAAAAAGGAAAGCATAAGACAAAATTAGAGAGAGGTACTTTAAAGGGCTTAGTAAAGTGCAAAATCCAAAGATAAAATGTTGAGGATGTATTTAAATTTCACATGGCTTTCATCATAAATTATGCAGCCAGCTCCTTGTCTTTCAGGATTCACCTGCTTCCAAGTTTGCAAATGTTCTTGTAGAGCCCACTGCATACATCTGTATTACTACTTACTCCTTATAACATGTTCTGTCCTGTTCAGCAGGTATTTATTGTTTGCTATATGGTGCCACATTGTGTTTTTCCCATTTAAAACTAATATTTCCCCTAAATGTAAAGAGCTCCAGGAATCACTAAAAAGATCAAGACTGTCCTCCCACCCCCAACAAAAATATAAATAGATACCTTACAGAAAGGAAATACAAAGGATTGCCTGAGCCCAGGGGTTCGAGCCCAGGGGTTTAAGACCAGCCCGGGCAACTAGGCAAGACCTCATTTCTGCAATAAAACAAAAAATTAGCTGTGTGTGGTAGCATGTACCTGTGGTTCTAGCTACTTGGAAGGCTGAAGTAGAAGGATCACCTGAACCCAGCAGGTTGAGGCTACAGCCATGAGCGTGCCACTGCACTCCAGCCTGAGCAACAAAATGAGACTCCTACTCAAAACAAATCAAAAAATATAAGTAGATATCTTACAGAAAGGAAATACGAAGGCCAGGTGCAGTGGTTCACACTGGTAATCCCAGCACTTTGGGAGGCCCAAGCAGAAGAATTGCTTGAGCCTAGGAATTCAAGACAAACCTAGGCAGCATTGTGAGACCTTGTCTCTACAAAAAATAAAAGATTAGCTAGGTGTGATGGCATACATCTATAGTCCCAGTCACTCCAGAGGCTGAGGTGGAAGGATTGCTTTGAGTCCAGGAGATCGAGGCTGTGGTGAACTGTGATTATGCACTGCACTTCAGCCTGTATTACAGAGTGAGACCCCAACTCAAAAAAAAAAAGGAAGCAAGAGTTTATTATTCTGAAGCTTCTCACAAGTCAGTGTGTTTTCATAATCAACACACTGATCCCAGCATCAAACTCCAAAGTCAATTTTTTTAATCTGAATCAAATTAGGTTTGAAAATATCCTTCTAGGCCGGGCTCGGTGGCTCAGGCTGTAATCCCAGAACTTTGGGAGGCTGAGGCGAGTGGATTGCCTGAGCCGGTAGGGTCGAGACCTGTCCAGGAACTTGGTGAGACCTTGTCTCTACAATAAATCAAAAAAATTATCTGGGACTGGTAGCACGTGCTTGTAGTTCCGGCTACTTGGAAGGCTGAAGTGGAAGGATCGCCAGAGCCCAGCAGGTCGACTGCACCCCAGCCTGGGTGACAGTCCAACTCAAAAAAAGAAAAAAGAAAAAGAAAAATATTCTTATTCAAATGTCTTTAATTCTTGCAAATGCTAGCTTTAGCTGAATATTTTGAAATACTGTATACAACATATTAATGTCATCTAGTTTTATTGATGATATTTGCTAAAAAGTTAACTTTTTTAAGGAGTATCATTTTTAAAATTTCACCTTTTAACATTTTAGTTAACTAAAAGCATGCTTTATTTTAAAATTTATGCTTGGCCAGGCTCCGTGGCTCAGCCTGTAATCCCATGCTTTGGGAGGCCGAGGTGAGTGAATTGCCTAGCCCGAGGATGCGAGACCCGCCTGGGCAACTTGGCGAGACCTCATCTCTACAATAAACCAAAAAAATTAGCCAGGCATGGTAGCACATGCCTGCAGTTCTAGCTACTTGAAAGGCTGAGGCAAGCCAGGCTTGGTGGCTCATCCTGTAATCCCGCACCTTGGGAGGCTGAGGTGAGTGGATTGCCTGAGCCTACGGGTTCACGACCCGCCTGGGCAACTTACAATAAATCATCTCTACAATAAATCAAAAAATGAGTTGGGCATGGTAGCGCGTGCCTGTAATTCCAGCTACTTGGAAGGCTGAGGTGGAAGGATCACCAGAACCCCAGCAGGTCAAGGCTGCGGTGGCCGGGAGCGGCCACTGCACTCTAGTCTGAGCAACAGAGTGAGACTCCCAACTCAAAAAAAAGAAAGAAAAAAGAAAGGCTGAGGCAGAAGGATTGCTGAAGCCCAGCAGGTCGAGGCTGCAGTGGCCCGGGAGCATGCCACTGCACTCCAGTCTGGGCGACAGAGTGACTCCAACTCAAAAAAAAAATAAATAAATAAAATAAAGTTTATGCTTCAGACTTCAAGATGTTGTTTTCTTCAGACTTACCAACATAATAGTTCCTTGAATGTCTTATAATGGGCAATGAAAGAATTTTCTTTTATCTATTCTTTGTTTCTGGTGACAAGAAATTCACCAGTTTGGGGGAAAAAATGAAGCCCCTGCTCATAACACCAATTATTAAATTTCAATCTCATTTTTTCCTTTCAGATTGGTTTTCCTCCCTTGCTTAGTATTGTTAGCAGAATGAATCAGGTAAAATTTATGTAATAATAAAGATATGTGCATTTTTTTGTTTGTAATGTATATGAAAGTATTTGACTATACTTACGGAATTCTTACAGTATTCAAGACTTTAAGTTACTCATTGGTTATTTAATCCTTATTACAACCCTATATGGGCAGTTATTGATACCTACTTTTTATAGATGAGGCAACAAAATTTGAGGTTAAGTAACTTGCAGGCAGCACTGGGATTTGTGCCAGGTAAATCTAACTCCAGAGCTCATGCTCTTAGTCATGGTGCTAGAGTATTTTGTTCTGTACATTTCATTTATAAGTCTTAGATTTGGGGGTTTGAATTAAATACAAACAGTCCCTGACTTACAATGATTTCACTTAATAGTTTTTTATCTTTACAATGGTCTATTGGGACGTAACCCTATCATAAGTCAAGGGGTATCTGTACTAAGGTTAAATTGCCATTTCTAGGTCTAGATGTCCTGCACATTCCCTTAAGATTGAAATATATAATTTCTTGGATCAAAAGGGAAGAATTAGTTGTTGTCTTTTAGGAGTAGGGACTCTTTTGTTATTCATTTAAAAAGCAAATAAAAGCCAGGCTTGGCTGGGTGACTCAGCCTGTAATCCTGCGCTTTGGGAGACTGAGGTGAGTGGATTGCCTGAGCCCGCGTACGTGACCCGCCTGGGCAACTTGGCGAGACCTCATCTCTACAGTAAGTCAAAAAATTAGCCGGGCGTGGTAGCACGCACCTGTAGTTCCAGCTACTTGGAAGGCTGAGGCCGAAGGATCGCCAGAGCCCCAGCAGGTCGAGGCTGCGGTGGCCAGGAACAGCCACTGCACTACAGTCAGGGCCACAGAGTAAGACTCCAACTCAAAAAAAAAAAAAGCAAACAAAAGCTTGTTTTGCCTTAATACAGCATTGGGTACTCTTAGAAGATAATTTTTTTGTGAGTTATACTTTGTTTGAAATAATACACCGACTGACAGTTTTACTTAATTATTTGCATTAAAATGTGGCAAGCCGGGCTTGGTGGCTCAGCCTGTAATCCGCGCCTTTGGGAGGCTGAGATGAGTGAATTGCCTGAGCCCGCGGGTTCGAGACCTGCCTGGGCAGCAAGACCTCATCTCTACAATAAATCAAAAAATCAGCCGGGCGTGGTAGCGCATGCCTGTAATTCCTGCTACCGGTAAGGCTGAGGCGGAAGGATCGCCGGAGCCCAGCAGGTCGAGGCTGTGGTGGCCGGGAGCGTCCACTGCACTTCAGTCTGGGCGACAAAGTAAGACTCCAACTCAAAAAAAAAAAACAAAAACATTGTGGCAAACATACTAAATTTTTTTTAAACTTACAAAGTCAGTGTGATTTCTTTTTATAAGCATCAACTATCTTTGAATAAGCCCTGGAATATTTTCAAGAGTTAGATAAATTCCATCAGTATAGCTTTAAAACAGAACTTTCTCTAGCTAATTTTTTCGTTAGATTTGTACTTTAATTTCATTTGAATAGGTAAATAAACTGAAGGTATTTATGCAGATAGTTTTTGGGTTTTTTTTTGTTGTTTGTTTTTAGTGATAAAGTAGGATTTATTGAGAGGACAGAAAAGCTCCCACAGTAGAAGGGGAGCAGAAGGGGTTGCCCTCAGATACTATTTTTTAACAGCATGTGAAGTTTTTCAAGTAGTTACAAACTAAATTAGTAGTTACAAACTAGATCCTAGGATTTAAACCAAGGTGTTAGTTGATATTTGAGAGTGTAAAAATGTTCGTTTTAAAAGACTCTTCTCACTAGGTAAGTCATCTAATTGCACTTATTAAAATCACCATTTTCTTTGTAAGTTTAAAGAATGAGGCCATTTTAAATATTAGAGTTGCTTTCTGGTAAACTTAATGAAACTTATGTTGAACTCATAGTTTTTTACTAATACAGCTCTTCCCCGACTCTCCCCACTTTTTAGGCAACAGTAACCAGCGTCTTGGAATATCTGAGTAATTGGTTTGGAGAAAGAGACTTTACTCCAGAATTGGTAGTATTGCATCTTTTTATTTTCATAATACAGTACAGTATGTAGCATGCTATACAGATTTGTAGGCTAAGAGCAATAAGCTTATACTATATAGTCTAGGTGTACAGTAGGCTATATCATCTAGGCTTTGTGTAAGTATACTCTGATGTTCACATAATGAAAACACCTAATGAGGCATTTCTTAGAATGTATCCCTTTTGTTAAATGATATATGACTTTACTTATATATAAGATATGACTCTACAATATTTATATTTACATGTGTATATATACATATACATACATGTATAATCTGAACTATGCTTGTTTGAAGTGAAATAAGGAACTTAACATCAGACTGTGAATCAACATACTACTTCCTTCATTGAGAAAGTCTCCTTTGAAAGAGTTGATTTATAGCCTGGTATGAGGTTCAAGCTACTTATCTCATGGCAGACCAATAACAATGAGAACTATTTTTTTAGAAATAGAGTCTTGCTATGTTGCTCAGGATGGTCTGATTCCTGGACTCAAGCAATTCTCCCACCTCAGCCTCCTGAGTAACTGGGACTACTGGCCCACACCACCATGCCCCGGTGAAATGCACTTTCTAAAGTGGCCTTAAAATTTAGTCCAGAGCCGGGCTCTGTGGCTCAGCCTGTAATCCCGCACCTTTGGGAGGCTGAGGTGAGTGGATTGCCTGAGCCCGTGGGTTTGAGACCCGCCTGGGCATCGAGACCTCATCTCTACAATAAATCAAAAAAATCAGCCGGGCGTGGTAGCGCATACCTGTAATTCCGGCTACTGGGAAGGCTGAGGCGGAAGGATCGCCGGAGCCCAGCAGGTTGAGGCTGTGGTGGCCGGGAGCGGCCACTGCACTCCAGTCTGGGTGACCAAGTGAGACTCCAACTCAAAAAAAAAAAAAAATTTAGTCCAGAAATATTGGAAACAATAATAATAGCAAGCACTACATGCCAGGCATTGTTTTAAGAACTTTGATATAATAACTCATTGAACCCTCCAATAACCTATTAGCTACCATATCTCCATTTTATAAGGAAAGTAAAGCACAGAGGGGTTCAGTGCCTTGCTTAAGGTCACACAGCTTATAACTGGCAGAACTCAGACTCAAGCCCAGGCATTCTGGCTCTGGAATCCATATTCCTAACAACTGTGCTACGCTGCTCCTTTATTTTATTGCTTATATCCTGATACCTTTTTTCATATTCAAATACCAAAATTCATATATGAATTACCTGTTTAATCCTCCTGATTTGATTTTAAGACTTGTTATTATTCTTTGAAGTAAATTTACTTTTTTGTTTTATTTCTTTTGAGTCAGAGTCTTATTCTGTTGCCTAGGCTGGAGTGCAGTGGCATGATTATGGCTTACTGTGGCCTTGACCTCTTGGACTCTGGCTATTCTTCCACCTCAGCCTCCCAAGTAGCAGGACTGCAGGTGTGCACTTCCACACCCACATAATTTTTTTTTTTTTTTTTGTAGAGACGAGGTCTAGGCTGGTCTCAAACTCCAGGACTCAAGCAATCCTCCCTCCTCAGCCTCCCAAAGTGCTAGGATTATAGGCATGAGCCACCACACTTGGCCAAATTTAATTTTTAGAAAAAAGATTTTTCAGCCGGGCTCGGTGGCTCAGCCTGTAATCCTGTGCCTTTGGGAGGCTGAGGTGAGTGGATTGCCTGAGCCCGCGGGTTCGAGACCCGCCTGGGCAGCGAGACTTCATCTCTACAATAAATAAAAAAATCAGCCAGGCGTGGTAGCGCATGCCTGTAATTCCAGCTGCTTGGAAGGCTGAGGCGGAAGGATCGCCAGAGCCCAGCAGGTCGAGGCTGCGGTGGCCAGGAGCGGCCACTGCACTCCAGTCTGGGCGACAGAGTGAGACTCCAACTCAAAAAAAAAGAAAAAAGATTTTTCATGACTGAGGATATTTGCAAAGAATATATGGAGGGGCTTTCAAAGCTTCCTTTGTGTCCTGTCAAGACATAAGGGGTAATCTTTGCTCTCTAGAAGTTTATAGTGTGCTGGAAGAGACAGATAAATTAGCATTCGTTGCATTACAACGTGTAAGTTTTTCTTTTTTCTTTTCTTTTTGAGTTGGAGTCTCACTCAGTTGCCTAAACTCGAGTGCAGTGGCCGCTCCTGGCCACCGCAGCCTCGACCT